AGGGAGAGAAAGAGATCTTATTTTTTTTTTTTTTTAAGTAGGCTTCATGCCTAGCATGAAGCCCAACACAGGGCTTGAACTCACCACTCTGAGATCAAGACCTGAGCTGAGATCAAGAGTCAGACGCTTAACCGGCTGAGCTATCCAGGCGCCCTGAGGAGTTAATTTCAAGGAAGTTCAAGTTTTGATGATGACAGGAGATGGAACAATTTCCATAACGGACTGAGGCTGATTTGTGACTTAAAGTGACCCTAGGACTTACATTACCCAAGAGTGATAAGAAACATCATGAGGTCTACCGGGGTTTTCATTGGGGGCAAGGGAAGGGCTCATTGCCCTGAGCAAGGAGGAAACCAAGACAGTGGGGTTTTATCAATATGCCCCAGGAGTTCTTTTTTTTATGATTCTTTTTTTAAGGTAATCTCTGTACCCAATGTGGGGCTCAAACTCATGACCCTGAGATTAAGAGTCGCATGGTCTACTGACTGACCCAGCCAATATACCCCATGAGTTCTACTTACTCAGTGCACTAGAGGGGCAGGCTCAGTCTCTCCCATTCCTAAAAACATATCACTTGATCTTTATTCATCCTCCTCCACAGTTTCTACCCCTCACCTCTCCAAGCCGAGTCTGCCCCAAACACCTCACTCACTTTTCCAACTTCTTCATGTCCCATTTGTCCCTCCAACTGCCAATTAGCTTCAGACCCAAATGATCCCTTAAAATGGTTTCACCAGGGCTATGATGAGCTGATCCCTGAAACCCAATGGTGCTTTGGGGCTTCCTGTTATGAAACCTCTTACTCCACTGACTGTCCTCATATCTCTCTGACCATTCATCAAGACTTGCCAGTCTCCCTTATGAAGGCTCCCTCCATCCCAGAAATATTGGGGTTCTCCTTGTCTTTCCCTAATGGACCTCTGGGCACTCCCACTCTTTTTCTTAATCGCTAGCCCTGACCTCTCTTCAGGGCCTCCAATGTCACTCATCCATTCGTTCACTCACTAAAGATTTTCAGCCCACTACTAAGGTCCAGGTAGTAATTAGGCACGGGGGCTAGAACCATGAACTAGCCACAGTCCTGGCTGCATAAAGCATATGGTCTAGTGGGTGATAAAGATGGTGAAGAGAGGCTCTCCATTTGGGAGAGGCAAGTAGAAACACCTAGCAGCAGTTCTTAATATAAGCCCTATGAATCCTTAAGGTATTCATAAACTTCATGAAATTATATGCAAAGTTCTGTCCACTTGGACATGTTCAGGGTTGATACGATCTATGCCTTTCATTAGGTTAGCCAAGAGGTCCTTGACACAGAAACGTTACTGATGTGACATTGGACATGATGTTACTCTGGAGAAAAATCAGGGCTTAAGACATACATGTGAGACCCTTCTATGAGAGGCGAGAGTGGGGTCAGGGCTCCTCAGAGTCTTTCAAAGAAGAATCTCAGCAGCAGAGGGCAGTGACACACAATGGAGGCGATAAGGGAAACTTGGCTTAACTCAAGCTCCACTAAGTCTAACTATGCTTCTCCTGTGGCTCTGAGTAACCCTTTCCCCAAATCCCCCAGTCCCGCAGGAACGCCACATAGCGCCGGTGCCCAGAGCTCCTGGTGTGAGAAGCAGGGGCCTCAGCTGTCCTGGGAATGATAGAGGTCTCTCTCATAGCTTTGAAGAAGAGGGATTTTTTTGGCCAATATTTAGAAGTCAGGCGATTTCATGGAATGATCTGGATTTGTGTCTTCTCTTCAAAGTCTGAGGACCCAATAAACGCCAGTCCTGGGTCCCCCCCACCCCAGCACTGTCACCCAGGGCTGACAGCAGCTGCCTCCTTGTGGGGGGGATGTATTCGTCAGTCCCCGTGCCCCGCCCCCCTTATACTTGGGCTCTGCTCTCTTTCGTGGCACCCGCCCACTCTCCACCCCAGAAGCTCTGGGGGAGACAAAGAGCAGAGAAAAAACGGAAAACCATGGGAAATAAACTATTTGCCAGGCAGGAGAAAAAAATATATATATAGGAAGAAAAAGGGAAGGAAGTAAACAGAAAGGATATACATTTTCCTTTTTTTTAAGGATATAAATTTTCTTAATGCAAAATCTTCTATGTTATGTTGTCTACTGGGAAGACTCAGTATCTACAGTAGCCTCATCCAGTCAAATGCCATTTGGATTGTGAAAATGTTCTCCCCATCCCATCCTTCACCAAAATAAAATCATTACTATTAAAATATTAGGATCACAGTGGGGAGTGGAAATGACCATGTCCTAACATTTAAGAAATCATAGTGTATCTGCATAATAACATCAGAAAGGCCATAAAAACTCCATCCTACAATTAAATAGCTCCATCCACTATTAACAAATTAAGCATTTCATAAGTTATGATACATTAAAAAGAGATCATTGGTATTTGATTCTGTTTTGTACATCAGAGATACATGTAATATTAATGACTCATGATCACGACTCTATTTTCTTGAGTCTTTTTAAAGTGCACATTAATCATCTGTTAATATTACCGTAACTCATAAAATACAAGCTAAATTTTCGCTTAGTGCCTTTCATACATAGGAATAGCTATGTTTTCTGGGCATCTTACAGCAAGGCACTGTACCCACTACTTTCCCTCTGTGGCTAACACCACTGTCACACCCCCATTCCCATGTCTGTCATGGCTGGAGGTCAGCCCCCCTGTGGGTCAGAGAGGAAGCACTATGTGTGTCAGTCCAGCAGTGTTAATTTCATTCATGTTATTATGCAACTGATCTCCAGAACGCATTTCATCTTCTAAAACTGAAACCCTACACCCATCAAGTAACATTTCCCTATGCCTCTCTTCTCCCCAGCACCTGCCAACTACCATTCTTCTGTCTCCATACATTTGGCCATTTTAGGCACCTCGTATGAGTGGAATCATATAGTATTTGTCTTTGGTGACTGGTTTATTTCACTTGGCATAAGATCCCCAGAGTTCATCCACGCCGTAGTATATGTTGGAACTTCCTTCTTTTTTAAGCCTGAATGCTATTCCATTGTATGTATACCCCTCGTTTTATCCACCCATCCATCTGTTGGTGGCCATTTGGGTTACTTCCACCTCTCGGCCACTGTGAATAATGCTGCTATGAACATGGGTGTGCAAATATCTCTTTGAGTGCCTACTTTCAACTCTTTTGCGTATGTACCCAGACATGAAATTGCTGGATCACATGGTAATTCTATTTTTTAAATTTTTTGAGGAACTGTCATACTGTTTTCCATAGCAGCTGCATGATTTGATATTTCTAGGAGCAAAGCTCAAGGATTCCAATTTCTCCACATCCTTGCCAACACTTGTTCCTTTCTGCCTTTTTTGTTTGTTTGTTTGATAGTAGCCATCCTAATAGATGTAAGGTGGTATCCCACTCATTAAATTTAAATATCCCAAAGGTTATGCTTTGCTTCTCAGGTGACACCTTAGTGATGAGTTCATGTTATTATCTGCAAGGAGCCAAGAGTGTGGTCCTGCAGCATTGCCCACAATGGCATCGATCGCACATCGAGATTGGGATGGAAACTGAGTCACAAGACATCTCTGGTGGAGGAAGTTACTGGTCCAACACATCATCTTCCTTGTTGCACATATCTGCCCATGAGCAGCTCTACTCTACTGTAATTAGTTCCTCAGCTTTCAATTTGAGCAGGAAAATAAGGGAACATGAGGCTTCTTAGTTATTTAAAATGTAATGACTATGAACTTCAGAACTACCTGCAGAAAGTCCTCATCTTATTCCAGAGTTCTTTCTTGCCATTCTCCTTTATACCAACACTGCCCAAAAAGTAGGCCAAGGTAAGAAAGCCTCTTCTACCTCTTCTAACTCAAGACAGAACCCTGAAGATCTTAAGTCACTTTGGCCCTTGAGCAGAACTCACAGGAAGTACTGGACGATAACTCAGCTACCATCGTGGTTAAAAATCAGAGCATCTGTAATGGGCTGAACAATGTCCCCTCCCCTCAAAAAAATCCACATCCTAATCTCTGGAACCTGTAAATGTTACCTAACACGGGAAAAAGGACTTTGCAGATGGGATTCATCGTGGGCCAGGGGATTATCTTCGATTATGCACATAGACTGTAAATGTTATCACAAGGGCCCATCACACGGGAGGCAAGAAAGTCAGAGGGGGAAGAAGGGCGTGTGATGAAGGAAGAGGAGGAAGAGGGATGTGATGTAGCCACAAACCAAGAAATGAGGACTTCTGGAAGCTGGAAAAGGCACAGAAATGGATTCTCCCCTACAACCTCCAGAAGGACCCACACCGCTGAGCACACCTTGAGTTTAGCTCTGTGAAGCTCATTCCAGACTTCTGACCTCAGAACATAAGAGAATACCTCTGCGTTGCTTCCAGCCACCACAGTGGTAGTAATTTGTTATAGCAGCCAGGGGAATATGGCATCAAAATTAACCCACTTTACTCAACCTCCCTTATAGGAGAGCTTCCCAGCTGGTGCGCTCTGGGATCCTGATCTGCGCATCTCTGGGAGCAGCAGGGTAGGACGTGGGCAAGAGTCATACAGAGCTGCCCAAAGGCCCTCCAGGGGCCCCCGGGCTCACACAAATACCGTTCTTTTCTCCGTGTTCCTGCACCACGGAAAGGGGAGGGAAAGTTGCAGGTATGATAGAGCCACGGGAATAAGCACCTCTCAAACATCACAGGGCAAGCTCCTGAACACAGCCCATCAGATAGGAGCACAAATAAAAGGAGGTGGACATTCCCAACATTTCGATCTTTCAGTATCACTGTTTGATAAGCTGTGCTTGAAAACTTTAGCTAAAGAAGCAAAATGCGGTATCTTTCCCCAGCAAGAAATCTCTGATGCTAAGACCCCATGAAGTCCCAAAGCAGCTTTTATCCACTGCTGGTCTGCCCCAGGCAGCCTCTCCTACACTCCCTCCCTCCAGGTTCCTGTGTCCCTGGGATCTGGGGACACAATGGCCTCCAGAGCTTGCCTGCCACCGACCTGATGGGGAGAGAGGGGTCTCCGGCGTCCCACCAGTCTTTCGGGGGGCTGATGTACATGCACCACAGCTCCCAGCTGTAGCCGTGGGCCGAGTTCTCATACCGCTGCACCTCAAAGGTGTCCTGTTTGATGTTGTCGATGGACGGAAGGATCACTCGCTTCCGGTTCTCCTGGATTCGGGACAGAACCGGCTCGGCCCTGAAACACACGGAAGGAGAAGTAAAATCTCTCTTCTGCGGCATGCCCACCCCTCCACTGACACAGACCCCCACACCACGGAGAATGAACAAAAGCAACCTGGCTAAAGGGGGGGCCCTGGGTGGGCTGGGCCTCAGGTGGAAACTGAGGCACCTGAGCCACCTGCCCTGGGGTGGATCGTGCCTCTGTGAGCATGCTCTGTACGGTGGTGCAGTGTGGTCCACACCCTGGCCCCCAGGGGGATCCTACGTTGCTGTTGCCTGGGCCTGAGGGGCCCGGAGCAAGAATTCAGAGCGTGGGGGGCCTCTCCCCCAGAAAGCCCCAGGCCTCTCTTTTGTGCTGACAGTGTAAGCCAAGGCAAGCCCGGCTGACTCCAAGCGGTTCCTGTTTGCCATTTCCCCTGGGGCACTGGTTGATGCCTCCTGTTTCTTCTGCAGGAGCTGAATTTTCTCTCCCAAAATGGGTCACTCCTGCCCTTGACGGCCTGGTTTTAATAAGCATTTCGCTGGCTTCTTGGTGTGTGTGACTATTTCAGTTGTTTTAATTGATTATTTAATTGATTTCTTAAAAGGGATCTAATTGAATTGGTTAGCAATGGCAGGAGAGAACTAATTAAATGCAAAGGCAAGCAGAATCCTGCCTCCCAGCGAGCCTGCCCCCTCATGGCTGCAGTGGGGGACAGGCAGGGACCTGGCTCAGGGTTCAAGGTGCAGTCCTGCCCACTTAGGAGAAAGCAGATGGTCAGACTCCCCCACCAGTGTGTGTCTCCAAGGCAGACGTAGGAACGGATTGTTTCCCAGATTCGAGAAGGAAAAGATGGCTCTCATAAGCCAGGGCATTAATCTCCCTGCTTAGAACAGAGCTCAGGCTTTGGAAAAGAGTCAAGTGAAAACCCCATTCCTCTGCATTATTTGGAAGAATAATGAGAACGCTCGGCCTGCCTCCCATTTCTTTTCATTTCCAGCTATTGAATTACCTGTTGGCTCATCTCATCTTTCTATTTAAAATGAGCAATAAAATACACCCTGGGCCATTTACCGCCTCCAGTGCTTTTGCACACCCCAAATAGGCTGAAGCCAAGTGGGACTGACTCGCCATGGCTTCCAGATACACTTCTGAGCTTCACCCCTCCAAGCACCTGCTCCTGCTGTTCTCCTCCTTGGAGAAGTGCCCGTGGCCACTGGCAGGAAGTCTAGTTACCTATGGAGTCTTACCAGATCAAGTGCCACCTCTCCCAAGAAGCCTTCCTTGATTTCTCCTGGTAGGAAGGTTCTCTCCCTCCTCTCAGCTCTTGGACCATCTTCTGCACCTCATCAAGTCACTCTGGCTATACGCTGTCTGTGCTAGTCTTGGAATACACACTATTTTTCCTTACGGGCTAATGGAAGCTGATATTTATGGAGCACTTACTGCGGGCTAGGCACCATTCTAAACATTCTCACAACGGTCCTAGGAGGTAGACAGAATGATCAGCATTTGACAAATGAGGTAAAGTGGCTTGCCCCGGGGCCACACAGCCAGCTGGTGGCAGAGCCAGGTTTCTAACCCGGATGGTCTGGCTTCACGCCCGACCCATAAGCTCCACTGTGTCCTTGACGGAGCCAGGCTCCCCCGGCCGGTCTGGTGGCCTGCTGTTCAGAAGCACTCAGTCACCCGTCACTGTGGTGAACTTCTAAGCATGGGGACAGAAGAGCTTCGTCCCACTAACGCTTCTGATGCTGCGGAGTGTGACCTCCCAGTCTGTGAGGGAAGGTACATCCGTTCCAGTTGTTTTCTCCCGTCCCTGGAGATACCCCAACCTTCCACCACGCGGCCCGCTGTGCTTCCCGCGGAGCAGCGCACTCCCGCCCGCAACCTATTATCATGTGACCTGCTCTGGCCAATGGGGTGTGAGCAAACGAGATGACGTCACACCAGAGCAGAAACTGGCAGAGCCAGTCCCGAGCCACAAAAATGGGATGTCCTTGACAAAAGTCCTGCTTCCTGTAGCCTCAGACTGCAGAGACAGGACGTGTGTCTCTCATTTCAATATTGCGTTGTATTGGAGGATTTTAAATTGCGTGTTGCCGTTTGTGCAGCTTCAAGCCAGAAGCGCATCTTCAGTGAAAGATAGCAAATACTAATCAGGTTCATTCAGGGAAGCAGCCTCCGAGTCTCTGAGACGCATGCACGTTGCCACATGACCTGTTAGGCCGGCCCACCCCAGTCAACCCCGCCTGGAGGGGCCATGACCAGGCTCAGGACTTGCGAGCTATGGCGCTGGGTCACTCACACCCGTGGGTGGCACTAAATGCTCTTGCTGAGAAATGCCCACCACCTAATCGTGGTTTTAGATAACAATACAATTCTCTTATGTTCCCCAGACCTATAACCCATAACTGAAATTCCTGGATTTGAAAAACGGGGATGCTAATATGGCTACATCAAATAAATAAGTAAAAACAGCCTCATTTTAGCAATGATCCGATTGTTAATCTACAGATTGTATTTTTTAAAATTTGGGTGTTCTTCAGGTGGTTGTTTTAATACTGTTTATTAACCCCATTAACAAATGTAGACTTAAGTAGTCCAACCAACCCACTGAGCAATTCCTATTTCATACCTTAAAGTTAACAGCTTAAGGCATTTTACTACAAGTTTCCACAAGCCCTGAATCAAATCTCTAATCTTTTCACAATAAAGTAGATTGGCATATAAAATAAAATACATCACTACTCATTTCCTACATGGTCTCTTCTAGCCGGATTTCCATTTTATGTACATGAAATGACAGTCTAAAGACTGTTAAATATCAATGTTCCCTTCCAAGAAGGGAGAACAAATTCCAGTTTTTTAAACAAAAAGGACATAGTCTCAGGAGGACTTTACCTAAGTGACCATGTGTGTAAACTGTACAAATTAAGCTGTTTTAAAGTTATAGATTATAAGCAAATGAACTCAAATATCCTGTCTTGGGGCACCTGGATGGCTCCATCGGCTGAGTGTCTGCCTTCGGCTCCGGTCATGATCTCAGGGTCCTGGAATCAAGTCCCACATCAGGTTCCCTGTTCAGCGGGAGCATGCTTCTCCCTCTCCCTCTGACTGCAACTCCCCCTGCTAGTGCTCTCTCTCTCTCTCTCTATATATATATCAAATAAATAAATAAAATCTTTAAAAAAAAGTCATGTCTTCTCTGTACTACGTTTCAGCTAATATTGCAAAACTAATGCCAGTTCTAAAAGTTGCTATGACCAATTCCGTTGACTTTCGCAAGGTACCTTAAGTTACAACAAAAACCTCCTCGGGGTCTCAGGATGTGGAGGATATGGGGAGCAGAGTTACAGACAGAGAACCAGCAGCTGACCTGCCCCACAGACGAGATGAAAATCTTTGTTGTCATAAATCACTGAAGTTGGAGATTATGACTGCAGTATAACCCAGCGAAAGTTGAGACATAGTGTCTACCTTGTAACAAGTCAGCACAAGGGACATCTGTCACTCTGGTGGTGGAAATTGAGCGGGATGGCCTAAGGCTGGCACAGAGGCCAGTTAGACTATGGGCTACCTGAGGGCAGACAGCAAATCCTGCCAGATTCTGAACCCCAGCTGAGTGACCAACTGTCCCACTTTGCCCAGGACTGTTCCAGTTTTACCACTGAAAGTCCTGCATTTTGGGAAATCCCTCAGCGCTAGGCAGATCTGAACAGTTGGTGACTCCATCCCTGGCCTAGGACAGTGTTTGGGACAGTGGCAGGCATCCAGCAAATATTTGTCAAATGGATAATTCAGGCAGCCACTGTGTTACTTTAGGTGGATGATGATGAGGGTGTGAGATGCGTGAGTGGAGGTCAAGGCGAAGGGCAGACATGCAAAATAGAAGGGGAAACCAGCTAGAGCTAGAGGTTGATGAGAGCTAGAGATTGATTGGATGAGTGACATGATGGGGAGGGAAGAATCAAATGAAAGGGGACATGGGTAGAGCCACCAGTTTTGACAGAAAAGAAACAGGGAGGCAAAGATGTGGCAAAAAAGGCAAAAAGTTCCAATGGAGCATTGGAGTGCATCTGTTCGGAAGGCTTCCAGCTCAACCGTTCTCAAACCTGAGTGAGCATCAGAGTTAACCCAGACGGCTGGTTAAAATAGATTGCTGGACCCACCCCCAGAGCTTCTGATTTCAGAGGTCTTGGGGGGAGCCCAAGAATCTGCACCTCAAACAAGTTCCCAGATGCTGCTACTGGTCTGGGGACCACACTTTGAGACCATTTATGAGAGAGTAACAACTCTGAAGCTTAGGGGAGGTCAGGGCTGCAAACACACAGCTGTGTGTCACCAGGTCTGATGGTGACAGAAAAACCAGGAAAAGAAACTAGTGTCTGATATGACATCAGATACCCATGTGCACTTGAAAGAGCCAGTGTTAACCCTCTCCCTCATGTGCTCATGCGGATAACCATTCTCCTTTGATCCAGCCATTAAAGAGATTCTAAAGTGTGTTGCAAATGAAGAAGAACAGATGTTTTAATGTTTCATTGGTGATGGGATAGTGGCTCTTCCAATCCGGTACCATGAACAACATTTATTCAAGATGGTACCAGTGAGTTGACACATGTTACAAACATGATTTGTGAAATTAAAGACTCTGCTTCTTAGTAATAAAGCAAATTGAGCACAGGTTACTTAACCTCTGATTTATCACTGGGTAGTCAGCAACAACCACCTGACTGTGCTTTTCAGCTGTCCAGTCCTAAACCAATGTCAGTATGCTCACTGAGTGATTTGGGCATTTTGATGCTTTACTATTCTTGCATCCTATGTCTCCTCCTCTCCCTGTGCCCCTCCCCCCAATTTCTCCCAGATTGTTCTTTTCACCACCTGGGAAACCACTGGGGGCCACATCTGCAGAGATAAACACTTCCCTCCCTACAAATGATGTTACAGATAATCCCATGGGTTCCAGGAGGCTTTCCCTGCATAGGTAGAATTATAAATGGATCTCTTTCCTCCAGATAGCACTCAACCATCCTCCTCAGACAAGGGAAAAGCAAGTGGGAGAAGAGAACAAATATGGCTATCTTGTCCCCTTAGCAAGGATTACCTTGAGTTCTTTCCAATTAATATGTCATTTTCGCTGGGAATTTTGATGATGATGGTAATGGTGATGACCACAACAATGAACAGAGTAAAACAGCAAATTTTTCCCTGCCTCCCAGTTTTGTCCCAGATTATCAACCAACCCTTCTCCATTGTTCCAGTAGCCCCAGAGGAAACAGGCAAAGTTTCCACCTCCCAGATTCTAACTCCTCCTGACCACATTACTGCGGGTCCTCAGTGCCCCTGGAGTCCAGCTTGTGACCTACCAGCCAGCGGTGAATTCCACGTGGGCATCAAAGAAGCCAGTGACCTGGCCCGTGGCCACCTTCCAGCCCTCGATGCGAGCTCGGATCAGGCCCTCTCTTTTTTGATTGCGCACCACCTTCACCAGCCCAGGGTAGCGTTTGTGGACATACTCCTCCAAGGGGGCCTTCAGCTCCTCTACAAATGACAAAATGCAAGAAGGTCCATAAACATGTCATTTCACCAGGGTGTCCAACCCACTGCAATGCCAATGGATCTTCAGGGAGTTCAGAGAGGCAGAAGAGTTGGCATGTCAGAAATTTTAGTAGAAGAGACAACTCGGTCAGCGTGAGAGTAAGAAGACATTGCTGACACACCAACCCAGAAGAGCAATGTTTGTCCCACGTCCAAGGTATACAGCTGGATAGAATCCACATCTGGCTTTTATGTTCTGGCTGCTACAGGCTCGCAGATGTCTTTTCAGGTTGCTTTTCTTTGTGGCCTTTCCTCCTTTCTAGGCCAGCATTCCTGCCCTCCCACTGCCCCCTGGGTCCCATTATTCAACTTCTATATCAGTTTTCCCATCAGCACATACACTGGTTCTTAGAGTACATGTCCTGGGTGGTCCAGACTCATAGTCCTGCACCAGATGCACAGTTAACAAGGTTGTTCCTGTGGTCTTAGTTTAACAAAGCAACCTTTGCCTAGTTGCAGGAATGCTGCTCCTCCAGAGATAGAACACCCGAACACCCTCCCTTCTGCAACAAGCAGGTGGTATACAGTGCATTATTTATATGATCTAATTTAATCCTTACAGCAACCTAAGAGGGAGTTAGATTAATTCCATTAATTAGCTCGATTCATTCCACTTTGCAAATGAAGAAACAATCTCGGGGAGGCTAACCTGTACCAAGGTCACACATCGAGTAACGGAAGGACTAAAACATGAACCATGTCTATGTCTAACACCATAGACAGGACGGTTGACCCCTCTCTGTACACGAGACTCACCAGATGGGGGGGGGAGGGGCTCCCAGGGAGGGGATTCACAGATCTGCACCCTGCAAGGATCCACCCTTGGAGAGCAGGCTATGGGTCACTCATGGGGCTTGGGAGCATGCAAGCAGACATAAACCATACTTTAAGAGATACTTTTACCTCTGACTTCACTCGAGAGAAACCCAAAAAGGTTGTATTTACAGATGCCGTGTAGAACCCTCACTTCTTAGTTATACACGGCAACCTTGGGAAATTAAAGCCATACATTTGAGCATAGGGAGAAGTGGAGCTCTCTAGGTCATGGGTGTTGTCCCGGGGAATGATGCAGCCATGGGACCCGGGAAGAAATGCAGAGGCCAGGGTTCCTGTCAGTCCTATGCACAGATGGTGTGGGCATAGGAACATGATGGGCTGCACTGTGCACTCCCCAAAATCTATCTGTCAAAACCCTACCCCCCAGGTCCTCAGAATGTGATCCTATTTGCAGAGAGGGACTTGAAAGAGGTGATTAATTTAAAATGAGGTTGTTAGTGTGGCCCTAATCCAGTATGACTGGTGTTCTTACGAGAAGAGATTTGGAGCCACCGGGGGGGGGGGAGGCACCCACAAAGAGGACACATTGAGAAGGTGGCTATCCCCACACCGAGGAGAGAGACCTCAGGAGAAACCAACCCTGCCCACACCCTGATCTTGGACTTCTGGCCTCCAGAACTGTGAGAAAATAAATTTCTGTTGTTATTTCTGTTGTTCAAGCCACCCAGTCTGTGGTCCTTGGTTATGGCAGCCCAAGCAAACTAATACAGGGTGGTATTTGTTTGGAAAGGGGAAAAAACTGGAATCTGGGTGGGGAAGGGGCATAAACCTCTAACAAGGAGTAGCATGTGCTTGGGTATTCAACACTGGAGTCAGGCCACCTAGGATTCAGAACCCAGTGCTGCCACTTATCATCTGAGTGGCCCTGGGAGATTTAGCCAATCAATTCAGGCCTCAATTTCCTCCTGGGCAGAAGGGGGATGATAATCACCGTATGGACCTCATAGCACTATGGTGCGGACCGAATGAGTTACTATAGAGAGAATGCAAAGAATTATCGCTGCCACGCGGTAAAGGCTCAACCTTGAGTAGCTGGCATTAATTTTCCCTCTTTCCGTCCACATAGGTGCAGGGCACGTGGACAGAGATTCCACAGCAGCCCAGGGAACCTGAGGAAGCTGCACCCAAGAAGGGAAAAGTCCTACATGCTAGAACAATGGCTCTCAAACTGGAGGGCATATTGGCACCACTTGGGGGTGCTGAAACAGATTGCTGGGCCCCTCCCCCACAATTCCATTTTCAGAAGGTTGGGGGTGGGGCCTGCGTATTTGTGTTTCTAACAAGACCCAGGGGGTGCCCATGCTGGAGTATGGGGAACCACTTTGAAAACCACTGAGCTCAAACCACAAAGGGCTTTCTTGGTGCATGCCTGGCGCATTATACACCCTCGAGAAGTTATTTATTGCTGGTGATTTCACCAACTGGTTTCACCAATACTTGCCATCATCCCAGGATTGGTGAGGGGGCTGGTGGAGAAGCCAGGCTGCGGGGACCCCCTGCTTCCTCACCCACCCTGAGGGAAGGATAACCAAATACATGGGTTTTCAGCTTCTAGACACCATCTACTGACTGAAGGCTGGCTGGGTTTTCCTGTATGTTCACTAAATTTCTTGGAACAAGAATTCTAGCAAGAGTGTTGGGCAGGCCATGTCTGCTTGGGTTTTCACTTTTCCTCATCAGTGCTGGGTAGGTGGTCAGGGGATGAAGGGACATGCCATGGAAGGCAATGGATCACGCATGGGCACCTCACCCACAGAATGCTACAGTGGGAAGCCTGCCCATTCACTAGGATTGGCACTGGTGGTAGGCATTTTGGGAATCTTTGTAAGTGCAGGGAGAATATCCTGAGTGCTCAGTGCTAAGCACTACACCAGAGCACCCACAGGCACTGTTACTCTTTAGCTGCTGGGTGATCTGGGACCGCAGTGGGGCTCTGCCTGATAACTGGATGGCAATTCCTGGACATACCAGTCACTGTGTCTAAATGCCAAGTGGTTTCCTTACTGGTTCCGTGGTTATGACTGAGACACTCCACTGAGGGTGGAGAGCAGTGACAAGCATTTACAGTGTTGGCAAAATACAGTGTGGTTCATTATCACTGCCTTCTACAGCTCAAGGCCACTGAGATACAGACATTAAAGGGCTTTGAAAAGTATAAAGGGGAAATGCCCAATCATTTGGTCCTAGCCCTATGGCTGCTAAAAAAAAAAAAAAAAAGAGAGATGTTACATCTAAAGCCCTTCATAGGCATTCAGTAAATGTGATTTCTAATAATAATTGACCCATTAACATTATTAATGTAGATCAATTTTATAACTTCCCATGAATGACAGCTTGTCTTTCTAGCTAGTCCATATCATTCTGAAGCCTGGGGCCTACTGTATAGGGGCAGACACCATCCTCACTTACAAAGTTTGGGGACACTTTGTTCTCAATACAATGGAAGTGATGGTCTATGGGCTTTTAAGGGAACACTGAGGGAGAAGTCACCATCTAACCAGCAAGATTCAAGAACAAGGGATACTGGTCAGGCTTCTTTTCCCAGTTACCTCATGTGGTTCTACACCTCAGAAGGTAGCGGCTCGTGCCCTTGCCTGGATTTACAATCAATTCAGACATAAGTGCTTCCTCCAGATGCTTACAATCTAGGTAAGGAGGTGAGATATGTTCCCCAAATGACAATATTCAGCATGATAAGGAAAATGGAGCTAATGGCCAAAGAAAAATGGCCATACAAGGAAGTGCTAGGAAGGGTCACAGAGGGAGAAATTATTTGGCTTGGGGGGGGGCGGGGGGGTTCATGAAGAAGCAAGTGTCTGAGTTAAGCAGAAGGTTTGGACATGTGTTCTCACCATCCCAGGATACATAAACACACAACAAAATACATAAGCATGGAATTGGGTCTTCTTAGATGACAGAATCACTGTCTGGGGGACAGGAATGATGTCATAAATTAGAAAAGAGAAAAAGAAGAAAAGTAGAAGAACACGTTGGTGAGTTCACCTGGGGACAGGGTGAGGTGCCAGCAGACACTCAGGTAGACTGTTGAACCAAACTAGTGACCCAGAGGTGAGGAGAGAGGCACATAGTGTTGGGGACACAGTGGTAAGAGATGATATCATACAAGAGGCTGGAGACTCCAGGAGATGGAGCGAAGACTTGGAACAGCACTTTGGGGCACATGCACATTTAGGAGGCAGGAAGAAGAACTAGGGAACAAGGCTGGCTAGAAACAGGGTCATAGGGGCAGAATCATATCAAGGGTAGAGCTCAAAAGGAGGATATGCGCATTCATTTCACAAATATGTACAGAGCGTTTGCATGGCTGAAAATGACACAATCCTTATCCTCAAAGAGTAACCCAACGTCCAATGTGAGGAAAATCAAATGCATTAGAGAAAATGAGAGCTGAGAATGGCCCTTAGATCTAGACAAAGAGTAGGCTCCTGATGGGACCAGAGAGAAAAAGGAATTCCCTTCTGGAAGCAGCTGTGCCCTGCAGGGATAGGTCTGCATCAAGAGAAGTGGATGAGTGGGAGAGCTCAGGAGACTTCCAGAAAGAGTACTCCTGGTGGAACACAGTTTTAACAGTCTGAGGTACTGGGGTGTTGAGACTTGGAAATTGTCTTAGAGCAAGAGAGCCTACAAGTTAACCAAGTCAAAACAAGGCCCTCAAGCTCACCAGGGAAAGAAACCCACTCCCAACCTGACAGTGGTAAGAAATGTCACCCCCATCACCTGAGATCCTTTATCATCCTTAGCAGATGAAACCAAGCTTGGATATTATAATAACAGTAAGAAATACATTTTACATATGATTTTTCTCACCAGCAAACTCAGAGGAAAAAAACCAAAACTCAAGTCTGCAAAAATAAGTGTTTACCTTCCAGTGTTATAAAGTCAAATAGTAAACTGGTCCAGAGTCATTTGGGAATCTTTGTGTTTCTTAAGGTTTTGGTAAATAGCATTTGGGGAGGTCAAGAGGGAAGAAGCAAACACGACCTGTAATCAGAAGGGACCAGAAGAGAGATATATCTTCTCCTTATCAATAAAAGAAACACCTGTCATCCAGGCTTAAGGAGTACATATTGGCAACAAGAAAGTTA